GCGACAATTTGCAGTGCCCTCTTGGGGCCTCTGGGGAGCCCCTCAGAAAGCTTTGGGGGGCACAGCGAAGGCCTTCGCAGGGCCGCGTGAGAGCCGTACCAGGGCCGCATGTGTGCGCGGATGGGGGCGACGAGTGCTGACGCTGACGAATATGAGAATGATGAGGGCGATCAAGGCTGGCCCGAAACAAATCCTGGCGCCATTGCAGGCCGACGATTATCGGCCACGCCGCCAGGACGACGCCAAGCAACAAAACGACACCAACCAACAAAACGACACCAACCAACAAACCAACAAATCGACACCGACCAACAAAAGGACACCAAGCAACAAAACGACACCAAGCAACAAAACGACACCAACCAACGAAACGACACCAACCAACAAAACGGCACGAATCAACAAAACGGCACTGACCAACCAAACGACAAATCACTTCACGACACCAATGAACAACGCGAAATCCACCGACCGCCAACCAAACATAAAATCAACCGACACAACGAAACCAACCCATAGAGCCAGACCAACCACTGGATTCGTGAGTCGGGGTAGTCATGGAAGTGAGCCGCTGCAGCCCGCGGAAGCCATTAACAGTGACCAGAGCACCGCAATGCAGCAGCGTCCCCGGGCGGCGGCGGGAGTCTCGGATCTCCCGCGGGACTGGAGCGTAGCGAGTTCGTCCTGGGTCCGGTTTAGTGAAGTGAAGAATTTCGGGGTGCTTGCATGGCAAAAACCTTCACTTCACTAATCTGGGGCCCCTGGAGCCCCAGGGCGTTTCAGGTCCCCTCGCTGTCTGGGTAGTCCAGGGGGCGCAGTGGCGGCTTACCAGAGGCCCTGTTCCCTAGCCTCACTTGCTTTCACCCGTGGTGCTCGACGGCCGTCTCGGAGCTGTCTTGTGGCGGTCTGGGGCAATCCCGAAGCCTCTTGGAGCCATCCCAAGGCCCCAAGGCGCCACCAATGGGGGCCCCAAGAGAGCTCCCAGAGGGCCCCGAAAGGCCTACAACAGATTGCACGTTCGCGCGAATTCTTTGTACCACTTTGGGGGGTCCCTCTTGGGGCCCTCGGGGAACGTTCTCGGGGCCCTCCGGGGGCCCACTGGGGCCCCGGGAAGGCCCCAAGAACGCTCCCAGAGGGCCCCAAGAATGCTCCAAGAGGGCCCCAAGAGGACCCCCACAAGTGACAAAAACTATTTGCATGAGGGTGCAACTTACTCGGCGCCTCTTGGGGCGCTCTTGGAGCCGTGCTGGGCGCCACTCGTGGACGACATGGGCTGGGCGACGGCATGTGGACCCTGTCGCTTGGGCCATCGGGGGTGCTCCCCAATGGGGCCACGAAGCGTGTGAGCGTATGACGGAATGGGCTGGGCGGCGGCCTGTGGGCCCTGCCTGTGGGGCCGTCGGTGCAGCTCCCCGTGGGGCCACGGAACGTGCGAAACGTATGCCGAAATATGCTGGGCGGCGGCCTGGGAAACCTGCCGCTGGGACCTTTTTTTGGTGGAGCTGCCTATGGGGGCACGAAATGTTTGAGGGTGTGTCAATGTGGCCTGGGCGACGGCATGTGGACCTTGCCGCCGGGACCTCCGATGAACTCCTCATGGGGGCACGAAGCGTCTGAGGGGCGTGCCGACATGGGCTGGGAGGCGCACTAAGGACCCTGCCGATGGGGCCTTCGGTGGAACACCTGACAAGGCCACGAGACTTGCGGGGGATGTGGCGAAGCAGAGACGCGGGGGAACAAGGGGGGTGTTTTGATGATGTTGATGAGGATGGTGGTGGTATTGATGATGGAGACGACGAGAATGATGATGCTGATGATGATGGTGATGGCGAAGATGACGATGGACGATGACGACGGGGACACGCGGAGAGCAGGGGCAGATACGCGAAGCGGGAGGACGAGGGAGGGGGCCGGAAGGAATGACGCGGGGCGGTGTATCTTCAAAACGAAGAACCAACACTGCAATATGGTAGGAAATTTCTGGACGACCCCCCCCCGTGGCGCGGTCAATGTCCGCGACAGCATCGCTGGCACTACGAACCAAATTTTCGAACTCTTCCTGCGACGTTACCCGCGGGGTGGATCAGCCAGGGATGGGGGGCGAAACCGCCCCAGCGCAAAGCAAATGTACAATCCTGAGAAACCCCAGCCCACGTCAACCGATCCGCAATAAGCACGCAAGCCTTTGACGACCACAACGCACGTGACGTCGCATAACGCGACGCGCCATCGAAAACGTTCGACGCGCGCCTCGGAATGACATCGGGCTTCATGGAACGTCGAATGGAAAACATGAAAAACCGCCCTGTGGGTTCCGAGACCCAAAACTACTGATGTGAAGGATTTCGGGTCGTCGATTCTAGCCCTATGGCCCTAAAAAATGATGATTGTTTTTTCTCCGGTATCATTTATTTTCCGTCCAAGGTCCGGCTGTAGGGGGACACGCCCGACTTAGCATCAGCCGAACACCCGCCACATCTCCGTCCGATGCCTGAGGAAGGAAACGCAGGCAGAGACCCCCGAAGTGCAAGCACCGCCCGTGGAATGTTCGAGGCTCGGGGACGGACAGGGCCCCCTTTCGTGGAAGCGCGGTTTCGTGACAACGGCCTCGGGCCTGAAGCTGGCGGACGCAAGCCCGGAAACGGACGGCCACGGCGCCCTCTCGAGAACCGAAGACGGACGATCCACTGATCGACGTGCCGGGGTGGGCGTCCTGTCCAGCCACGAGAGCTACGGCGCAGCAGCTGAGCTCCCGAGCTCTGACGGCCGCAGAACCCGAAGCTGCGTCTCGAGAGGAGGAGGAGGGGGGAGAGGAGGAGGAGGAGGAGGAGGAGGAGGAGGAGGAGGAGGAGGAGGAGGAGGAGGAGGAGGAGGAGGAGAAGGAAGCGAATGAGGAGGATGGGGAGGAGGAGGGGGAGGAGGAGGAGGGGGAACAAAAAGGAGGGAGAGGAAGAAAAAAAAAAGGAGGGAGAGTCTCGACCCCATGACCCCCCCCCCCCCCAGAGCTGGCAGCGCCTTGACGGCACCCGGGGGGGGCACTCTGGCGGTCGACCCCGGGGCACTCGAAGGGCGGCACAGTTATCGGCCTTGACCTAAGGAACCCAAAATAAGGAACGAGGCCCCTTTTTTCCATAAGTTGAACTTCGATGGTCCATGGAGAACCGCAGGAAAACCCGAGGATCACTGCAAAACAACTAAGGAACACGGAGCCCCTCCCGAACGAGAAGGGTTCCTTCTTCAGGGCCCCGACTGTACACCAGGTGGCCTCGACCCTTCAGGCTTTCGCATGTCTCAGGACTTCTCGGACATAGCAATGTTTGGTGACAGTTGGTGAAGAGCACAGCCAAAATATCTCTCCTCATCCCTGTCGTCATCCTCCTTCGCCCTCTCCTCCTCCGTCTCTCCTCCGCCAAGCCGTCTCGTCGACTGGGCCACTCTCCGGCTATAGCGGACCCATTCCGACGGAAATGCGGTAATGCCTTGGTTCTGGTGAGCGTTTTCTTATTCTCGGGGATGGACAGACCCCCCTGTAGTAAAACGTGGTTTAGTGAAAACGACCTGAGGCCCAAACCTGGCGGGCGCAAGCCTGGAAAATAACGGCCACGGCGCCCTCTCGAGAACCGCAAACGGACAATTCACTAATCGGCGTGTCACTGTTGGGGGTTCTGTCCACCCCCGATATTCGGCGTTTCGACACTGGGCGGAAGGGGGGAAGGAGACGGGGAGGGGCGGGCTCCGGGCCTCTGCCTCGTGCGACTGTGTGCAACAGTGCGTCCTTTGGGAGCAGACTCCCCCTGCTCAAAGCAGCCGCCCAGAGCAGCCACAATCTGCTCCATGGGGGGGGGGAAACGGGGTGCGAGGGCCCGCGCCGATCGGCGGAACGACGACCTGACGGTGGGCCCTCTAGAATTCACGCCTGCAACACATCGCGGTGGGATTCCACGGGGATCGGGGGGCCACTTCTTGGCCGACCTCGCTGAGCGGGGCCTGCTGGTGCCGATCGTCAGCAGCAACTTGGAAGATGGGTCACAACAGGCAATCATGTGTACTTCTCAAGGTGTCTGGAATTCAGAGGCTCTCATCGGTTTCCTGTCCGCGCGCAAGCGAAAGGGGCTCTGAAATCGGCTCTGAAACCTCTTGGGGCTCACCTGGAGCCAGTGGGGTGGCTCATTTGGGTCCTCTGGGTGTTATCACGAGGTCCTCTCCAGGACCTCGTAGGACAATCATAACTTCTACACACTATGGTTAGGTCGGGCATGTCCCCCTACAGGCGGATTTTGGACGAAAAATGGGGGGGGGAAAACAGAGTGCCCCAAAAGTATGCAAGAATGGTAAACAGATCGTCCCCTGCACATTTCTGGACTATTTTTGAATAGTCCCCCTGTAGAAGGACAGGCCCGACTTAACGCTATGGATCACCGAAGCTCCCCGGCGATGGTCGCGACGCGTCTCCAACTCGGGGAGCCAACGGGAAGCGCTGGCAACGTGATTTCAACCACGCGCAAACAGGACTCGCGGTAATGGTCCTCCTAGAATGAAGCCGGGCCTGTCCCTCTACAAGGGGAATATTCAAAATGTTACAAAATAGTCTGGGGACGATTTGTTTAGTATTTTTGGGAAAGTTTGGGTTAATTTGGAATTTTGTTTGTTCTTCGTCCAAAATCCCCTGTAGGAGGACAGGCCCGACTTAATCCTAGAAACTGCACGATGGCCTTCAAAATGCGCCCAAGATCCCCTCAACTTGCCGCAATATCACCCGCACTTCTCCCACACGGGGCGTAGGGAGCATCTCGATCTGGTGCTCTTTGCGAGTTTCTCCCGCTGGGCCCCTGTGACTGCCGCGCAAGGGGCGCAATATGACTCACTTTGTGTCACGCCAGATTGAAGGCAACCCTCAACCATTGCAAGATTTCCAAAGCTAATGCCAAGAAGCTTAGAGTCCATGCCTCTGTCGTCAATCTCCATCCTGCATACAACATGTCTCCAGACTAGATCTTAGCTGCAGAGGGCGGCTGCAGGAGGAAGCAACACCGGAAAATGAGTGCACCGAGCTTTGTCGCTTCACAATGCGGTGTTGCACGCCTCAGTCAGGCCAGGCTGGCAGACGATAGCGCATGCTCGTAAACAGCATATCCCCTGACCTTGCTAGTTCACAATCCTCGGCCCCAACATATCCCCGACAACGAAAAGCATGACCACAAACACTTTACTGCATAATGGCACTGCTTACGCTGATTCTGTGCAAAAGAGTGCATCACCATGCAACCCTGGACGGATGACCCTGCAGACCGATCCTGAACACCACTCCTGACACTGGCTGCAACAAGAAACCTAACCGCTCAACAGTTCAGACGCACTTCAGCGGAAGGCCGATCCTGGTAACAATCCTCACGCTCAGAAACACCGACATCATTAACGCTGACCCGTTCGTACGCCCCTCAACCAACCCAGCGTCCCTTATAACGTGATGATGGGATGGTGGGGTTTGGAGCAGTCGTCTCGCTGTGTGACGCGCCGTCTGCGCGCCCTCAGACAGCCAGAGGTAGCTTGCTGGCCAGCAAGCGCCGCTGCGAAGGAGGAGGATGAGAGGGATGAGGGAGGAGGAAGAGGAAAAGGAGGAGGGAGGAGGGAAGAAGAGGAGGAGGAAGGAGGAGGAGGAGGAAGGAGGGAGAGGAGGAGGAACAAGGAGGAGGAGGAGGAGGAGGAATAGTGAGGAGGAGGAGGAGGAAGAGGAGAAGGAGGAGGAGGAGGAGTTTCAAGAGGAAGGAGGGGGCAGGAGGGGAAAGGGAGCGGCATGGACCCTCGTCTCAGCCACGTGCCAGCTGGAGACCTGCTGGGCGTCGCTGCCCTCATCTCGTCTCCCCTGCCCTCGCCTGTCTTGCCCTCCCCCACCCTCCGCCCCTCCGCCCAGTTTTCGGCGGCGCGCCGAGGGGTGAAGCGAAAGGGGGGCATGCCTTCTCAGAAGGCGGCGGGCCTCCTCGGAGGGGGCGGGGGGGCGGGGGGGCAACGAAGCCCCGCCGCCGCGCTGCCCCCTCCGAGCCTCCGAGCCCCTGCGAACGGGGCGGCCGTAACCAGGCTGGTCGGGTAGCCAAGGGTGAGTGTGTGTGTGCTGTGTGCGCTGTGTGTGCTGTGTGTGTGTGCTGTGCGTGTGCTGTGCTGTGTGTGTGCTCTGTGTGTGCAATGATGTGTGTGCTGTGCTGTGTGTGTGATGTGTGTGCTGTGTGCCGTGCGTGTGCTCTGTGTGTGTGCGTGTGTGTGATGCGTGTGTGGTTGTGTTTGTGTGTGTGGTTGTCTCTGTGTGTGCTGTCTGTGCTGTGTGTGTTTGTGTGTGTACTGTGTGTGCTGTGTGTGTGCGTGTGTGTGTGTGCTGTGTGTGTGCGTGTGTGTGTGTGTGTTTGTGTGTGCTGGGTGTGCGTGTTTGTGTGTGTGCTGTGTGTGAGCTGTGTGTGCTGTGTGTGTGTTTGTGTGTGTACTGCGTGTGCTCTGTGTGTGTACGTGTGTGTGTGTGTGTGTGCTGTGTGTGCGCGTGTGTGTGTGTGTTTGTGAATGCTGGGTGTGCGTATTTGTGCTGCGTGTGTTGTGTATGTGTGTGCGCTGTGCGTGCTGTGTGTGCTGTGTGTGCTGTGTGTGTGCTGTGTGTGCTGTGTATGCTGTGTGTGTGCTGTGTGTGCTGTGTGTGTTTGCTGTGTGTGTGTGCAGTGCGATTGCTGTGTGTGCTGTGTGCGGTGTGCGCTGTGTGTGTCGTGTGTGCTGTGCGTGTGTGTGCTGTGTGTGATGTGTGTGTGTGTGTGCTGTGTGTGCTATGTGTGTGTGTGTTTGTGTGTGTGCTGTGTGTGTGTTTGCGGTTTGTGTGTGTGTGCAGTGTGTGTGTGTGTGTGTGTGTTTGCTGTGCTGTGTGTGCTGTGTGAGTGTGTGCAGTGTGAGTGTGTGTGTGTGTGTGTGCAGTGTGGGTGTGTGGTTGTGTGATGTGTGTGTGTTTGAGTGAGTGTGCTGTGTGTGTGCTGTGTGTGCTCTGTGTGTGTGTGTGTGCTGTGTGCGCTGTGTGTGCGTATGATGCGTGTGCTGTGTGTGTGTGTTTGTGTGTGCTGTGCTGTGCTGTGTGTGTGCTGTGTGTGCTGTGTGTGTGCTGTGTGTGTGTGGTTTGTGCGAGTGCTGTGCTGTGTGTGTACTGTGTGTGTGATGGCTGTGCTGTAAGTGTGATGTGTGTGTGTGTGTGTTCTGTGTGTGCTGTGTGTGTGTGCTGTGTGTGAGCTGTGTGTGTGCGTGTGTGTGCGCTGTGTGTGGTTGTGTGTGTTGTGTTTGTGCTGTGTGGTCGTGTCTGTACTGTGTGTGCTGTGTGTGCGCGCGTGTGTGTGCTGTGTGTGCGCGTGTGTATGTTTGTGTGTGCTGTGTGTGTGTGCGTGCTTGTGTGTGTGTGTTTGCTGGGTGTGCGTGTGTGTGTGTGCTGTGTTTGCTGTGTGTGCTGTGTGTGTGTTCTGTGTGTGCTGTCTGTGTGCTCTGTGTGTGCTGTGTGTGTGCTGTGTGTGTGTGATGTGTCTGCAAGCTGTGTGTATGTGCTGTGTGTGTGCTGTGTGTGTGCTGTGTGTGTGCTGTGTGTGTGCAGTGTGTGCGCTGTGCGCGCGTGTGTGCTGTGTGTGTGTGCTGTGTGTGCTGTGTGTTTGTGTATGTGCTGTGTTTGTTTGGGTGTTTGCTGTGTGTGCAGTGTGTGTGTGTGTGGTGTGCTGTGGGTGTGCTGTGTGAGTGTGTGCAGTGTGAGTGTGTGTGGAGTGTGTGTGTGTGCTGTGTGTGTGTTTGTTTGTGTGCTGTGTGTGAGTTTGAATGAGTGTGCTGTGTGTGCTGTGTGTGCTGTGTGTGCTGTGTGCGCGTATGCTGCGTGTGCTGTGTGTGGTTGTGTGTGCTGTGCCGTGTGTGTGCTGTGTGTGTGCTGTGTGTGTGCTGTGTGTGGATGCTGCATAGGTGTATGCTGTGTGTGTGCTGTTTGTGGTGGGCTGGTTGTGTACTGTGTGTGCTGTATGTGTGCGGTGTTTGGGTGTTTTGTGTATGTGTGCGTGTGCGGTGCGTGTGCTGTGTGTGTGCGGTTTGTGTGCGGTGTGTGTGTGTGTGCTGTGTATGTGTTTGTGTGTGATGTGTGTGTGTGCTTGTGTGTGCTGTGTGTGTGCTGTGTGTGCTGTGTGTGTGTGTGTGCTGGGTGTGTGTGTGTGCGTGTGCAGTGTGTGGTTGTGTGTGCTGTGTGCGTGCTTTGTGGGTGCTGTGTGTGCTGTGTGTGTTTGTGTGTGTGCTGTGTGTGATGTGCGTGTGCTGTGTGTTTGTGCTTGTGTGTGTGTGTGCTTGCGTGTGTGTGTGTGTGCTGTGTGCTGTGTGCTGTGCTGTGTGTGCTGTGTGTGCGGTTTGTGTGCGTGTGTGTATGAGTGTGTTTGTGCGTGCTGTGCGTGTGCTGTGTGTTTGTCTTGTGTGCTGTGTGTGTGTGTGCGTGTGTGTGTGTGTGCTGTGTGTGGTTGTGTGTTTGTGTGCGTGCTGTGTGTGCTGGGTGTGCGTGCTGTGCGAGTGCTGAATGTGTTTGTGTGTGCTGTGTGTAATTGTGTGTAATTGTGTGTAATTGTGTGTGCTGTGCGTGCGTGTGCTGTGTGTGTGCTGTGTGTGTGCGTGTGGGTGCGCGTGTGTGTGTCTGTGTGCTGTCTGTGCTGTGTGTTTGTGTGTGCGTGTGTGTGCTCTGTGTGTGTTCGTGTGTGTGTGCTGTGTGTGTTTGTGTGTGAACGGTGTGTGTGTGTGTGCTGTGGGTGTTTGTGTGTGAGCTGTGTGTGTGCTGTGTGGCATTGTGTGCGTGCTGTCTGTGCTGTGTGTGCTGGGTGTGTGTGTGTGTGCTGTGTGTGCTGTGAGGGTTTGTCTGGCGTTTGCTGTGCGTGTGCTGTGTGTGCTGTGTGTGCGTGTGTGTGTGTGCTGTGTGTGTGGAGTGTGTGTGTGTGCTGTGTGTGTGTGTGCTGTGTGGGTGCGGTTGTGTGTGTGGTTGTGTGTGCGCGATGTGCTGCTGTGTGTGCGTGTGTGTGTGTGTGTGCGTGTGTGTGCTGTGTGTGCGTGTGCGTGTCTGTGCTGTGTGCGTGTGTGTGTGTGCTGTGTGTGCTTCTGTGTTTCTGTGTGTGTGCTGTGTCTGTGCTGTGTGTGGGTGTGTGCGTGTGTGTGCCGTTTGTGTGCGTGTGTGTGTGTGGTTGCTATGTGTGTGTTTGTGTGTGTGTGCTGTGTGTGCTTCGTGTGTGCTCTGTGTGTGATTTGTGTGTGTGCGTGTGTGTGGGTGTGCTGTTTGTGTGTGTGCGTGTGTCTTGTGTGTGTGTGCTGTATGTGTGTTTCTGTGTGTGTGCTGTGTGTGCGTGTGTGTGTGTGTGCTGTGTGTGTGTTTGTATGTATGTGTGCGTGTGTATGCAGTGTGTGTGGCTGTGTGTGCTGTGTGTGTGCGTGTGTGATTGTGTGTTATGTGTGTTTGTGTGTGTGTGCTGCATGTGTGTGCTGTGTGTGTTTGCGCTGTGAGCTCTGTGTGTGTGTGCGTGGGTGTGCTGTCTGTGTGTTCTGCGTGTGTGCGTGTGTGCTGTGTGGTTGTGTGTGTGATGTGTGTGTTTGTGTGTGTGCTGTGTGTGTGCGTGTGTGTGTGCTGTCTGTGTGTTCTGCGTGTGTGCGTGTGTGCTGTGTGTGGTTGTGTGTGTGATGTGTGTTTGTGTGTGTGCTGTGTGTGCTGTGTGTGCTGTTTGTGTGCGTGCGTGTGCTGTGTGTGTGCTGTGTGTGCGTTTGTGTGTGCGGTGTGTGTGTGCTGTGGTTGGTTGTGCTCTATGTGTGTTTGGGTGTGACTGCTGTGCGTGCTGTCTGTACTTGTCTGTGTGCTGTGTGTGTGCGTGTGTGTGTGTTTGTGCGTGTGCTGCGGTTGTGTGTGCTGTGTGTGTGCTGTCTGCGTGTGTGCGTGTGTGTGTGTTTGCGTGTGCTGTGTGGTTGCGTTTGTGTGTGCTGTGTGTGTTTGTGTGTTTGTGTGTGCTGTGTATGCGCGTGTTTGCGAGTGTGCTCTGTGTGTGCGTGTGTGTGTGTGTGTGTGCTGTGTGTGTGTGTTTGCGTGCGTGCTGCGTGTGCGTGTGTGTGTGTGTGTGTTCGTGTGTGTGTGCTGCGTGTGTTGTGTGTGCTATGTGTGTGTGTGTGTGTGTGTGTGCTGTGCTGTGTGTGTGCGTGTGTGTGTATTTGTGTGTGTGCTGTGTGTGCGTGTGTGTGTGTGTGCTGTGTGTTTGTGTGTGTGTGTTTGTGCGTGTGTGCTGTGAGTGCTGTGTGTGTGTTTGTGTGCATGCTGTGTGTGCTGTGTGTGCGCGCGTGTGTGTGTTTGTGTGTGCTGTGTGTGGGGGTGTGCTGTGTTTGTGTGTTTGTGAGTGTGTGTGTGCGTGCTGTTTGTGAGTGTGTGTGTGTGCTGTGTGCTGTGTGTGTGTTTGTGTGTGCTGTGTGTGTGTGTGTTGGTGTGTGAGCTGTGTGTATGCGTGTGTATGTGTGTTTGTTTGAGCTGTGTGTGTGTGTGCTGTGTGTGTGTTTGTGTGTGTGCTTGTGTGTGTGCTGTGTGTGTACTGTGTGCGTGCTGTGTGTTTCCATGGTGTGTTCAAAACTGGGATTCGCCGCGCCGCTGTACAGGGACAGACCCGACTGAACCCCACGCACGCACCTCCTGGGCAAGGCCCAGGCTGTTTCTGGCGCCGTCTGGCGCTGCCGGACCCGCGCCCTTCCGCTCCGAGCGGCCCCAGGATAAGATAGGCAGAGGGATTTCGTCGCGCGATGTGAAGTTCCCCTCCTCCCCACCGAATCCCTCTCCTCATCTTCCTCTTTATACTCTCCTCCTCCTACCCCTCCACGGATTCGCATCACGTGACGGATCCGACAGGAGGGAGATCGGCCGAAACGGGGATGGGCCAGGTGTGGGCAATCCGTGGCGAACATGTGTGGCTCCTCGGGGCGAGGAGGGTGAGGAGGAACCTGACCATGACGTGCACACCAGTGGCCCTCCTCCACGAAGGTTGCCGATCTCCGCATTCAGATCGGTATTCGAATTTACCGCCAGCGTCGCGTAGCCGAATCGCATCTGACCCGACCTCCTCCTCCACCTCCCTACTTCGACCTTCCTCTCCTCCTGATCCTCCTCCTTCTCCTCCTCCTCCTCCGTCCCCTCCCGCATGTTCCTCCTCCTTCTCCGCCGTCCTCTGTCGCCGGGAACAAGCGGTCCACCGAAACGCATCGATCCTGGCGGCTCGTTGGACACATCCCTACTTACGCAAGACGAACGATTTTCTTCTTGAGGTGCAAATGGCGCTGATGAGTCGGAAATTAATGGCCGAATCCCCTTCCCCCCTAGAATCTTGACACGGGCGGTTTCCGGGGTCATCGGATCCGAGGTCTTCTGGTTCCCCGCTTTATTGTAAAACTATACATTTTAAAGAAGTAAAAATCGGATCCACCGTAAAAAGTAAGACAGACACGGATCCAGCAAATCCGAAATCGGATCCGCGCGGACGGAAATCTGATCCACCGAAGCAAACGCCAAAACCACAATTGGACCCGCGCGAACTTCACGGCGGTTATCTCATTCGCTTCTGCTCAAGACTTCTACCCGCCGCTCCGGGCCAGAGGGGAAACAACTTTCGTCCTGGGGAGGTATCCTTCCCTCTCCCTCCCTCCCCCAGAACGAGAAAGAGGTCCTCGGGGACTCCCGAGGCACTACGAAGCTCCCATGGCCGCCGGGCCACTCTTGCCGCCGAGGCGGCCGCCTCTCTCCTTGCCTGCCGAGGGCAGCGAGCGCCTCCGTGCCGGGTGCCGAGACGAGGCGCGGGCCCCCGCGGGCGAGGAGGCGGCGTCGGCCTCGGCCGCCTGCAGGAGCACCATAGGCTTGCTTTTGGGAGCCCCGAAGCGGCGCGACGACGGGCCGTGCGGCGACCCCGAGATCCCCCCAGGCCCCACCGTACGGGCCGTCACCGCACGGCCTTGGGACCCCGGAGGCCCCCGTCGCCCGAGACGTCCTCGGAGAGCGGCCCCATTCCCGAGCCCGTGCAGTGACCCCGGATCCCCGCCGACTCACGACACGGTGAGGTCACCGCCCCAGTTGGGGGGCCCCCCGAAAGGTTGGCCGAGGCGCGACAGGTGGCGCCGGCACCGGCAGCGGCGGCACCCTCAGACCCGCAGCGAGAACACAACCCTTGGCGAACTCGCTCGAGAGCGCTCTCGCCACACGGTCCCGGGTCCCCCTGCACGCGCCTCCCACAATCGGGAGCACTGTTCGCTGGCATACGCGCCGCATCTGAAACAAAGCAGGGTCCGAGTACCGTGCAGTGTTCGAGTGCGCAGTGGTGCACAGGAGGTGGCCACGTTCGCTCTCAGCACCTTGCAGGCGAAGGAGGGCTGTGGGCAGGCCTCGGTCGCCAATCATAGGCCTGCTCTCTCCGTGCGAACCCTTGGAACATCTGCTACGTCTGGCTGTGCATACAGTGTCCTCAGGATTCTCGGGGCCAACAAGTCCAGGACAACACGATCATGCTACTCGAAGGCTCGGTGGGCCTTGGCCCGAGGTCCCGCGGGGTCCCGAGGGAACTCGAGTCCAGGAAACCACGAGAGCACAGCACCAACTGTTGCACCTAACTTAGCCAACAGAGGCACCTCCAAACCGAGCTGATCCAATTCGGCAGGACGGAGGCTCGCGTGCAGAGACATGGCATGCTTCGCAGGGGGGACGGGCCACTCCCAGAACTCCAACTTGGAAGCCCGAAATGGGTAAGAAGAAAATGGGTACGATGCCCAACAACATTTGTTGACCAAAACCGACAGCGGCCGATGTTGGGCAGGCGGCCTTCTGTCTCAAACGGGCACTTCCCGCGGCGACGCTGACCGCGAGCCCTGTCCAAGATGAACAAGAAGAACTCCTGCAGGCCTTCGTGCCCAGTCCGATCGTACCCACTTCGATCGTACCGATCCTCCCCCTGGCATCCTCACCCGGCGGGAGCGTCGGAGGCCTCCGCCTCCTCCTCCTCGCACGACCCTGACCGAAGCAGCGCGCCAGGCCGTCGCCTGGGAGGCGGGCGTGAGCCGAGCGAGTGAAGACGAGGACGAGAGAGATCGCAACACTTCGGACGAGGGTTCGTCCAGGCCCCCAGGTTACCATCACCCAGAACGCCTTCCACATCAAGCTGGAGGCGCTGCGTACGCAGAGAACGAGAGACTGAGAGAGAGATTGAGAGAGAGAGGGAGAGAGAACAGGAGAGAGAGAGAGAGGGGGCGTGAACCAATAAAAGAAAGGGAGGAAGGCGGTGTCTGGACTCCCCCCTCCCCCTCGACGAAAGAGAGCTAGAGAGAGAGAGAGAGAGGAGATAGGGTGGGGGAGCACCTGGCTCCCCTCCCCGGCATCCCTCCACCTGGCTTCATCTTGGGCTCCGCGCGGATTTCTTGGATCCGCGCTGGACACCCCGTCCTGGCGCGCGGAACGCGCCAAGGGCGGCGCCAGAATTGCCACCAGGGGGGCCAGCGCGGAACAAAGAAAGCCGCGCGGAGCGCCAACAGTTTATCTGTTTATGGCGTTCTTCTCCAACAAAAGAAGCCCAACCCGACCCTTCGCTTTCCATCGCAGAGCCCTCGAAACCTGAAAGTCTCAGGGCACCCTGGAGGTAAGCAAAGTGTCGCTTGGCATGGGTCTCCAACGTACGTAACGGGTCGGACCACACTCATCCCACTGGTGGAAGAAGGGAGGAGGTACAATGAGATATGTGCGGAACGGCAGAAAGGAGGGAGGAGGGGGAGAAGAGGGGGGAGGGGATGAAACCTAAGGGGAGTGGGGGAAAGGGCGGAGGTATGGTGAGGTGTGTGCGGCACGGCAGAAAAGGACGGAGGGAGGGGTAGAAGAGGGGGAGGGGATGACATCAGTAAGGGGAGTTGTGGAAGACAGCTAAGGGGAGTGGGGGAAGAAGGGAGGAGGTATAGCGAGATGTGTGCGGAACGGCAGAAAGGAGGGAGGAAGGGGTAGAAGAGGGGGGAAGGGGGAGGGAGGGGGAGAAGAGGGGGGAGGGGCAGAAGAGGGGGGAGGGGTAGAGGGGTAGACGAGGGGGGAGAGGGAGGGGGGAGGAAGAGGGGGAGGGAGGGGTAGAAGAGGGGGGAGGGGGAGGGGGAGGGAGGGGTAGAAGAGGGGGGAGGGGTAGAAGAGGAGGGAGGGGGAGAAGAGGAGGGAGGGGAGGGATGGAGGGCCAATTCCTTCAGGTCTTGAGCCTGAGAAGGCTCGCGTCGGGCGCCGTCGCACACGAAACGCGACCCGCGACGGAGAGCCGTCCCAAGCCATGGGCGCGAAAGCTCAACGGGGACCCACGTTGTGAAACGAAGCGCAGCGCCCGAGGTCTGCCCCAGACACCCGACGCCAACACTTACTCGCAGCGTGAAGTCCTGAACCTCTCGGCCCTTTCTGGGGGATCCCTTCTGCATCCTGAGCCGTTTTCTGGTCCCAGGGGCCGAGCCGGGGCTCCAGAGGGCTTCCGTCCACTTCGGAGAGGCCAGCCACTGCGTCTGGGCGGCGATGGAGGGAGTGAGATTAGATCGGGCATGTCCTCCTACAGGCGGATTTTTAGTGGAAGCAGGGAACTACACAACAAATGCTCCACACCCAGCCACGAAGAATCGAAACATCGTCCCCGAGCTATGTGTGTTGACTGCCTTTGAGTGTTCCTCCTGCAGAGGGCCATGCCCGGCTCAGGCGTGAGAGAAGGGCGCGGCACGAACTGCCGAGGCAGGGGCGGGGACGGGCGGGGACGGGCTCGGAGATGCGGGAGGGCAGGGCGGGACGGAACGGAGGGGACTGGCGCTCAAGGGCCAATTCGGGCACGACCTCCCACAGGCGCGGATTGAGGGGGAACAGTGGACAAGGGTCGAACAGTGCTCCGAAGTAGTCAAAACCAGTCAATCATCGTCCCCAGACTGTCTTCTACTACGTGTTGGGAGACTCCTCCTTGTTGAGGCTCACGCCCGACTGAAGCTCGGGGGTGGGGGTCTGGGGGGAGGGCGGGGCGCTCGCCACCCCGCCCGTCTCGGGGGGAACGACAGGGGGGCAGCAGAGGGCAGGGCAGAGCATCAGATCACGTAGTACGCTGACTTTCACGGCGCCTCCCGGCGCGGGGGGGGGCGCCCGTGCACCGAGGGATGGGCCTGGCCGAACCCAGCTGCATGAAGCAGTGGTCGTGACCCCCCATTTCTCCCATGCCAAACGCTGTACCTGTAACCCCCCCCCTTGTCCCCCCCCCCTTCGTCCGGCCTGCCCCCCCTGTCCCCTCCCTGCCCCCCCCCCCCTCCCCTGCCCTCCCACCCCCCCGTCCCACCCCTGTCCCCCCCCCCCTTCCCCCCCCCTGTCCCCCTCCCCTGTCTCTCCCCCCCCTCCCCCCTTTCCCTCCCCCTCCCCTGTCCCCCCCCTATCCCCCCCCCCTCCCCTGTCCCCCCCCCCCCTGTCCCCTGTTCCCTCTTCCCCCTGTCCCCCCCCCTCCCCTGTCCCCCCCCCCCCCTTGTCCCCCCTGTCCCCCCCCCTGTCCCCTGTTCCCCTCTTTCCCCCTGTTTCCCCCCTTTCGTTCTTTCGGCCCGTTCGCCGTGCCCCTCCGCAGCGAGCGCGAAGGGGGGAGGGGGCGGGGGCAGGGCCCGAGGCGCACACGCCTCGAGCAGGGCCCCCGCTTACCAGCCTGGAACTTCCGCCGCTCCGCCACTCCACTGCTGGGGGCCGCACACGCCTGGCCTACAGCGATGACTTCTGTCGGTTGCTTAGTAGGCACCGAGCAAGACCGAAACGGCCGACTGAAGTCCGACCAGCTGCACATTACCAGCCTGGAACATATCCCTATCCCTATGCTGGGCACCTCCTCATCACGATGCCAATCTTAGGGATTCCCTTATTTTTTGAGGGCGAATCCCTAAGATTGCCATCGCCTTTTGGCGTGTCAATCTTAGGGATAGGGATACGTTCGAGGCTGGTAACCCGCCCCCGCCGCCCCCGACGGTGCGGAGGCAGAGGCAGGAGCGCCCCGCCCGGAGGAGCCGAGTCGACGAGCACCGGCAGAGCAATGGGGCCTCCTCGAGGAATCGGCGTGCAGATCGGCAGCCGAAGTCGGATCGGACCGGAATCGGGACACGAAATCGAGTTGACCCGAGTCGGAGGCATCGAAGCGAGCCCTGGAAAGGGGCTATCTCTCTGGACCCGACCCCTTCTGTGAAGCCCTCTGCCATGGACGGCTCGCCCCAGCCACTCCCCTCCCGAGCCCTCTGCCTTGGACGGATCGGCCCTGCCCTCCTCCTTCTCCTCCTCTTCCTCCTCCTCCTCCTCCTCCTCCTCCTCCTCCTCCTCCTCCCCCTCCTTCTCCTCCCCGACCTAAGCGCTCTGCCTTGGACAGCTCGGCCCTGCCCCTCCCCTCCTGGCTGCACCCGATGCGCCGCTGCCGCCGCGGCACAGGCATCGGCAGCGGCCGATGTCGACGCCGACGCCGGCGGAGACGACGCTGGAGGCGGCGACGGCGGCAAGCGGCGACGACGAAGACGGCGGCTGCGGGGGCGGTGTCAACGGCGGCGGCAACAACTGGGGGAACCAAAAGATACCCAAACCGCTAATCCCCAGACCTCTTCCTGTGTTCGGATCAGCATTCAAGGCGAATCTAGCTGTGGCGAAGAGGGCCTCCCAGGAGGCCCTCGAAGTAAGGCGAAAACCATGCAAAGGCAGCGGTACCATTACAACTTCCAAGACATGCGACGCCCTGATTCTTACAGCACGCGGTCTCCGGAAGTCCAGATCCCCACAAGCCCCGATCCCTTTCCCAAGGCCGGCTTTTTTTTTGAATTGCCCCGTGGCCCAGCCAGGGACGGAGGAGGAGGAGGAGGAGGAGAAGGAGGAGGGGGAGGAGGAGGAGGAGGAGGAGGAGGAGGAGGAGGAGGAGGAGGAGGAGGAAGAGGGGTGGATGAGGATGAGGATGAGGAGGAGGAGGAGGAGGAGGAGGAGGAGGAGGAGGAGGAGGAGGAATCGCGATTTTGCGGAGCGCGAGCACGTCTGGGATCCCCCCCTTCCGAGCGACGGCGTTGGCCTTCGGCGGGCGCCCAGCGCGAGCGCCGCGGCCAGCGCGGCGGCGGCTGCCGCCGCGGCCACGGGCGCCGCCAAGGCGGCTCGCGCGCCGCCTCGGCGCCGCTGCGAGCGGCCCCGAACCGTCCCGAAGCAGCCCGAACGCGCAACGGCCGGAAACGAACACGGCCCGAAGCGGCCGGCAACGGAAACGGCCCGAAACGGCCGGAAGCTGGCCCGAAAATTTGCCCGAAACGGCCCGAAATCAGCCCGAAACGGCCCGAAACGGCCGGAAATCGGCCCGAAACGGCCGGAGATGGGCCCGGCACGGCGCGGAACGGCGCGACATCGGCCCGACACGGCCGGAAGTCGGCCCGAAACGGCCGGCCCGACCTGGAGGAGTGGCGGCGGCTGCTCACCACGGCCTGGCGGCAGGAGGACCCAGAACCGAATCGAGAAGTCTGAAGGGGCCCAAGGACACACAAATAAATGCACACAAATAATCAGATTCCCCGTATTTTCCCATATTTTCTGAGTGTTTGTCTTCCCGCCCACTTCCCATATTTTCCCATATTTTCTAGGAAATCGACGATTAATTGTGTCTGTGTGTTTCTTTCCGTCCTGAATCAATCGGATCGGCGGGGATCGGCGGCCAAGGCGGGAGGAGTCGAATCCTCGGAGCTCGGCAGGCTGGCAGGGCATCCATGGGGAAACCGACAGCCCGCTCGGGATCCGAAGGGCTGTCGAGTCGTTATCGGAACCGATCGAGATCGAATCGAATCGGCGCGCGCCAACGGGGAGGGGGCGGAGCAGGAACGGGGGGCCTTGACAGAAGGCAGCGGATCCTCTTCGAAACCCTCTGACTTTCAGATGGCCTTCCCAGAAGGCAGCGAGCCTTCCTAAAGGCAGCGGGCCTTCCAGAAGGCAGCGGCTCTTCTTAGAACCCCGGAGGCGAAGCCTTGTCAGAAAACGGGAGGGCTGACAAAACGCCCCGCCCCCGACGCCCTCGCCCTTCCCCCCCAGGGCGCGTTGCCAAACAATCGCTATCACCATCATCGTCACTACCGTCACCTTGCCTCCCTCTTATCGCGCTTGCGCTTGCAAAACCACTGGACCAACGACGCACACACACACACACCAAGAAGGTACCTGATAATTTCCCAAAGCGGTGGCTGCACTCAGACGGTCGGATCTAGGCCAGAAGACCATCCCCAGAGAGCATGAGACCCTCCGTCGGCCAGAACAAACAGAACATCCAAGGGTGCCCTGCTCCGGATGCACACGACCGTCCAACAAGCACGAAGAACACCAAGGTACCCTCCCCGAGCCAACCTCGATCCGATATCTCGGTCTTGCTGTCCTCTCTGACCTGGCTCCTGAGCATGAGGCCGCCATCTCCGCAGTTTGGGCTCACTGGCGCCAAGTGAGCTTCGCTGCCCCCGCCGCTGCACGTCGATTCTCTCGCCACTGGACCAGTGATGCAACTCCTGACAAGCAGGCAACGAGAAGGTTGCCCAGACACCGGCTGCACTCATACTTCCTTACGGCAGGTTCGCGTCGTGACGACCCCGGCCCTGGTTTCTGACGCCGCGGGGATCGCTCAACCTTGCACGATCGGCCGTTCCCGAACCGCCCGATCCTTCAACATCCACCGATTCTGGGTCGCTGACCGCGCTCAGAATTGGACGCCGCTTTCGGGGCCGCCGCGGGTCGACACTGGTTTTTGACCAGCCGAGAGGAGCCCTGCGGCACGAGAAATAGAGACGACGACGACAGGACGACGCGAACGAGGGCGCGGGTTCTGATGTTCCAACCTACTTGAGCCATGATCGCGAGAAAGAACTTCGAGCCCCCCCCAAAAAATACCGGAACTCGAGGGTAGGGTTTGCACCGGTCGGGCCCTGGGAGACACTGCTTCGTTACCGCCTCGACGCTCTCCTGACGCTCTTCTGGGCGCTCGAACTTATTTCTGGGATGTGGCCCTCAAGTACGATGGGAGCAACATAAGGCGCGGGGATCGGGAGCGGCCAAGAGGGGGGTGTCCAAGAGGGGGGGGTGCAAATCATGACCGGCGGCATGTGCGCGGCCCAGCGGGAGGGCCAGGGACGTAATGAAATAAGAAGAGGCGCCATGAAATCTGCGGAAATATCATGACCCCCGCCATGATATCCCCCCCCCTAGTCACCACCCCCTTCTTTTCCGCCCCCGACAGAAGGCGCGGGGAGGGGGGAAAGGGGGGGTGGGGGCAAGCGGGACGGGGGGGAAACGCGCGCCCGGGCCCTCGGGGATCCCAGTGCGGGCGGGGGGCGAGCCCGCGACGCGCCCCGCCACTGGTCGGCACGACGCGACACCAGACCGTGCTTGGATCCCGGGCAACTGGGGTCCACCCAATAGGCTATATTAGGGGGTAACTCGTTATTTTTCTGCCGCGGCACCCGCCGCGCAACAACGACGACGACAGGAGGAGAAGGCTTTATGACCAGTCCCAGTCACCGCCGAGAGAACAAATCGGGGGCCAAATGTATGACCCTTAGCGGTTGCATATTCTCTCTTCTTAAGAACGGACCCGGCGCGACTTCGATTCGGGCCCTTCCCTTTACCACGCAGCGCAAACATTTCTGAGCAATGCAGAACAAAGGACAATGCATTGCTTCGCATCTATGGGCACTGCGTGGCACTGTTGCTTCACATTGCTTGCCAGTGCTTCGCATGCCTCTGCGTGCTGCTCGGCACTGCTTGGCACTGCTTGGCTCTGCGTGACACTTCCCAGAACATGCCCGATGCCCGCCCAGGTGGCCCCTCGATTCCCTTCAGAGGAGGAGGAGGAGGAGGAGGAGGAGGAGGAGGAGGAGGAGGACGAGGAGGAGGAGGAGGGAGGGGGAGGGGGAGGGGGAGGAGGAGGAGGGGAGGAGAAGGAGGAGGAAGAGGAGGGTAGCTCAGCACAGCAAGGAGGTGGATATTCCGAACGGTCCTGGTGCGTCCCTGGGCGGGCGCCCGCCGTGGGATCGCAGCATAACTTGGCAGGCGGAGTTTAATATTATGTCGGGAACATGAGACGGAAAATCCCACCAGCCCTTTGGGCGTGAGTGGTTTAGAGAGCTCTCTCTGTCCTCAACCCCCCTTCTTCCCCTTCGGGGAGGGGTTTACCCCTCCTCCTACCCCCTCCCCCTGGACCTGGAGAGGGACTCCCGAGTGGTGTCAAGGGGGTCTTGTTCGACTCCTGGGATGGCTAAAAAACGACGGCCCTCACGAGGATTCTGGCCCCAGGGGGGGGGACCGAGTTTGGCGCCTCAGCACGTCTTTGAAGCCAACAACATTGATGTTACTAGGGTTTTGGCCCCATTTTGGCGTCCTGAGGGGGCCGCGCTCATCTTCCCTCATAGCAAAAACATTGATTTTACAAAGGTTTTGGGATCATCTTGTCCTTCTCAGGGGGCAGCGCTCATCTGCGCTTCTGGGGAGGTCGCAAGAGGCCCCAAGATGGACCCAAGAGGCCCCCAGGAGACTCCCAAGAGGCCTCCAAGAGGCCCCCAAGAGGCCCCCAAGAGGCGACAAGAGGCCCCCAAGAGGCCCCCAAGAGGCCCCCAAGAGGCCCCAAGAGGCCCCACGAGGCCCCAAGAGGCCCCCAAGAGGCCCCCAAGAGGCCCCCAAGAGGCCCCCAAGAGGCCCCAAGAGGCTCCAAGAGGCCCCCAAGAGGCCCCACGAGGAGCCCGAACGACTCACACCAGGACGAGGGGCCCGAACGACTCACACCACGAAGAGCCCGAACGACACACCACAAGGAGGGGCCCGAACGACTCACACCACAACGACCAGGAGGGCCGCCCGAACGACTCACACCAAACGAAACTCACACCACGAGGAGCCCGAACGACTCACACCACGACGAGGGCCCCGAACGACTCACACCACACGAACGAGTCACACCAGGAGGACGAACGACTCACACCAGGAGGAGGGGCCCGGAGAAGCCCGAACGACTCACACCAGGACGAAGAGCCCGAACGACTCACACCACGAAGAGCCCGAACGACTCACACCAGGAAGAAGGGCCCGAACGACTCACACACCAGGACGAGAAACCCCAAACGACTCAAATCACGAGGAGCGCTTTCTCTCCCTCCTCCTCCGCCTCGTCCTTCTCCCGCTCCCCCCACAAGGAGGATGTACAAGGAGGCGGGAGGAAGGAGGAACAGGGGAGATATGCGGGGCCAAGCGGACACACGCCTGAAAAACACGACTGTCGGCATGCTTCGCAAGAGTTGCTGCTGTGAGATGGGCTGGTGGGGATACGCGAAGCGTAAAGAATTAGGAAGAGTCAGCAACTACTCAACAATTGCAAACAAATGTTCCAAAAATCGCCCCCATACTATTTTTAAGCTCTTTTTGCACACTCCTCCTGTAGAAGGGCACGCCCGCCTCAAAGCTAGTAATCACAGCCCGCCCCACCAGGCACGCGCGGGTGCGCTGGCAGGGCGACCCCCCTCCTCTCTCGCAAGACGAAGCCAGGACTGGGACTGGGACTTCTGTTGCTCCCAGAAGTAATTTCGAGCACCTCGAGAAATGTCGAAAGGGTGTCGAAAAGGTGTCGAAACCGTGTCGGACGAGCGTCGCCCAGGGCCGGACACGTGAAAACGCCAGAGTTTCGTTACTTTTTTCCTGGTGCTCGAACCTCTCTCTGGTGATCCAGGCTGAAACAGGTAGGGAACATCACAGCCCGGGACCCGCTTGCCATATATCTGAGATCCAGCGGTTCTGAGGATTGCGTCGGGCGACGCGGCCCTGCCAGAGCGCTCCAGGACGCTCCGAGAGCGTCCCCGGACGCTCCGACGCTCTCTGGCCATTGCTCGGACGTCTATTTCCTGTGGCTTTTTTCTGGTTTCGTGCATGGTTTTTTCGCCAAATGATCAAGGATGATTCTCGATGATCCTCGCCGAAGGAAAAATGCACACGTCCGAGCGATGCCAAGCCCTGGAACAACTGCTCCTGGGCCTCGCCCCGCCCGACCTCTCGGGCAGCCTCGCCCAGGACGAGCTTGGAGATCCCCGAGCGGGAGCAGAGAGGACGACGG